TATAATCAATAGAGACAAGGGAGACAGGAATTACCATTTCTGGCTTATTAACCGTCGTCTGCCAGCCATATCCAATCACAGGGGGTGGCGACCCCTGAGGTACAAACCCGCGACCTTGTTACTTATAAGTCCAACGCTCTTAACCACAGCGCCACTGAATCGTTGCCTCACCGGTTTCAATCGGGAATTTACCCAATTATAGATAGGCGCTCGCCGATTGCATCTTACATATACTGCAATTTCCTGTCCATTAAGTAGCCCTGTCTAATGATGGGTTCGAGTATGAATGCAAAGTTAGGCTAATAAAGCTATTGTCTCGGCGATTGCATCTATAGCTCGATTACTCCCTCGAACTCTCATTTTCGATTACATCGGCATACCTATCCCCCTTATTGACTAATTTTCTATATGAGACGGTCTGCAGGTGACCAATTGTGGTACACAATGGTAAATGTTATCCCTTTCGCAATCAGAGCAGACATATCACGACGGTGATCGTAAGACGTCTTTCACCCAATCAAACTAACGGCTATGTTCAGAATTTGCCCCATGACCTGATGGCTGCATGACGGTGACTTGCGACTAAAGAATACGAAAAGACGATAACGTACAAAAAATAGAAATATATTAAAAAATTTTAGGTCTTACAAAAAGTCGATTCACCGGCAAATGATTGTATAAAACTTGGCAGGAGAGTACAATTTTGCATATAAACGCGATTTAGAAAGAGGAATCTAGAGATAGCACATAATCGTATTGGACACATTTTGATCATATTCACACGGCCATCTTCATTGGAATTTTTGGGTAGGGTTTGTATCCAACGAGTTCAAAGTCCTCTACCTTGAAGTCATCAATATCCGTCACCTGCCTTTTAATGACTAATCTGGGGAAGGGCCGCGGAACACGTTTCAACTGAACAGAAGGAAAACAGGGAAGCATTTGAAGATGGGAAGGACGTGTAATCAAGACTAAACTGTGGGCATGAACACGTCACATGGATACAAGAGCGCTCAATAGGGCTGTGCGAGAGATGATTATGACGGCGCGACCTCCTTCAACGAGGCCAGCAGGCGGAACCATATCGGTATCTTTTATCTGAGTCACAGTCCATTCATTTTGCGCCGATGCGTTGCCAACTCTAACTTAGTTTGTATATTAGAGGAGGCACAAAAGACTGAGGGAAATAGGGCTGGATTGACGCCAACTTCTAGTGGTTTACCACTATCCTCGTGGCAGAACTGCGTGATAGCACTTTGCATGTACTTTTTTACAGAGTACATCAAGCGCGGGTTCAAGTAGTCGAAGTCTGCACAGCGAATACTGCCTACGATTGCTGACTCCAGTGAAGTAACGAACAGT